AGGCACTGTAGGGCTAGAAGATAAAGTTACATCACGATGGGTTTCCTGATTTCCCTTTGTCCAGGTCTCTAGTCTGTTATATGTGCTTTATGATAAGCTGCCTCGAAGTCTTTTGTAATGAGATGCGATACATTAATAAATACACATACTGTCCTTACCATGTTTTGTTAATCAGTTCCAGTTGAAGACTGGCTAATTTATACATTTCACTTCTGTTAGCTAAAAATAAAAATTTTCTGTTAAATATCTTACATGTTTCCTTCTGTCAAATTATTATCCTTACCTTATGATGCTGCCTGTGTATTTACTTCTAATTGAAATTCAGATAATTTCTCAGATTAGCACCTACTTGACTACTTTGCTCTGTTATTAATAACTTATTTTCATCTCCTCCCTGCATCGTAAATGTTTGTGTTTTGTACACTGAAAAGTGTCATGAATATAATTTGATGGTGTGTTTATAGACAGTGTTTATACTTATTTTTTATTTGGTAATCCCATTTCCAGGTATCTAAGCCTACAGAATAACACTAGAAAAGTGAACATTCATAAGATGTTTATTATCTCACCTAGTTTATATTGTGAAAATAGAAAAGCACTGATAAGATCTTGCATAGGGAACAGATAAGTTAGCCATACTATAGCTACTGAATAGACTGTTATGGTCCTATTTTTACATGATGGTGATATTTATTTAGCAACTTTAAAATTCATGTGTTTTAATATAGTTAAAAGAAGCACTATGTAAAATAGGCATCAAAAAGACTAGGAAAATGCACAAAAGGCATGTTTTTTCAGGTGCTAGAAAGGTGATTTGTTTCTGTTCCCGTTTAAATTTTTTATTCTTTCATGTCTTAGAACTTAGAAACTGGACATGCAAAAATTTGTAATTCTCATAGAAATTCCTTTGTTTTTCTTTTTCAGATGTGAATCTGGTTACACTGGACAGCACTGTGAAAAGACAGATTTTAGTATTCTCTATGTAGTGCCAAGTAGGCAGAAGCTCACTCATGTTCTTATTGCAGCCATTATTGGAGCTGTGCAGATTGCCATTATAGTAGCAATTGTCATGTGCATAACAAGGTAAGCAGTGATATAAGAAGGATAAACTTAAGCTAGAGGTGAGTGTCAGTTAAACTAGAAACAAACTTTGGAGCACACTCAAAATGGTAGAGGTTTTGAATTCACCTGCCCATTAGGAGAAATCCTAGAGTCACTTTCCTGAGATTTCTATTTAGATCTGCTCTCTCTTTGTCTTGCCTTGTTAGAATATAGGTAAGCACTCATTCCCAGGGCTAAGCATATCTGAGTTACAGGCAAAGGGAGCATGACAACAGTCAATAAACTAAAGGGATTTAGGGATCTTAGTATTGTGTACCTCAAGCACTGCATTCAAGGCAGTAATGGTAGTAGCACAGATTTTAGATGATCTGCACATGTACAGAGAAGCCTTGGAAGAATGTTTTGAGCCCTGTAGCTTCAGTTTGATCCCTGCATTATGCCTTGAGAATATATTTTTCTGTGGTAAATATAATAAAGGAAGAAATCCAGAGGTGAAAGATAAGTATTTTTCATATTACATCATTGTCTTAACTTCATATTCTAGATTACAGTGATAAGTAATAGATTTTAAAATTATATGTCATAAATGAGAAATCATTTATCATAAAGGACTCATTTGGAGCATATAACGGACTTATTTGGCTGTTTTCCAAATGGAGTCAGACTAAATTGGTCTTGAGAAATGTCAGAACAGATGTCCTTGGGCTTTTCAGCCTGTCCTGTCTTTTTTTCTTCCTGTATCTTTTTTTTTGGTACCAGTTATTGAACTCAGGACCTTGCACTTGTGGGCAGGTGCTGTGCTGCTGAGCTAAATCCTGGCCCTTCTTTCTGTATCTTCTAAGTTTTGGGTCACATATTTCATAAGCGTCATCTTTGAACTTTCCTGCATTTTCCTTAGCAGAAGATTGGAGCACAAAATTGACAAGCCATATTGGATTTATGGCCCTTCTAGCCAAGGTCTGAATAGAAGCCAGACCTTCAGTAGACTCAGCTATCTGGAGCTGAACTGATAAATGTAGAATGATAAAAAAATGTTCTTAGAGTAAAAGGTATTTTTTTTGTTAATTTCAGGCACTAAAGTCAGTGTGCTTTATTCCAGAAAACAAATGATGTGGCCTTAGGCAAGAGTACTGGTATAATATTTGTCAGTAGATCAAACAAGGGACATAATGACAACAGAAAGAGAAGATAGGAAAAAAAATCCATTCAATAGCAGGGCTGGCTGTGGCCATTTCATATAGGCTCAGAGATTAACTTGTTTCCCTGTAGTCATCCAATAAATAATGAGATGTCCCTGGTTTGGGTTTGAGTGCTATCTGATTCCTGAATCATTACTTTCCTCACTGAACTGTCAAGAGAGGAGGTTCTGTGTTGGGTAATGATGGGAAACAGGTTTACCATGCATGACCATTGCATGAGAGCAGGTTCAAAATTGATTTTAGGGTAGGAATTTGAGATTTTTGAGCAGGGGAGCGACTTGGTACAAACCATTTTTCTAGAACATTATTCAAAGGGTCATGTGCAAAATTTATTGGAGTAGGGGAAATGTGTGATAGGGAAAGACCATTTGGAACATTATTAGAATAATACAAGAGTAGTATAATAAATGATTTGGAAGGCAAAAAAAAAAATAAGCGAAAGGGAAAATTTTTGAGGCCAGTGGTTGTGCCATCCCAGAGAATCAAAGGCTATTCGAGGCACTGAGAAACACCTTTTTTTTGGTACCAGGGATAGAATTCAGGTCCTTGTGCTGGCGAGGCAGGTGGCAGAACCACTGCGCTAAATCCCCAGCCCAGTGAATCACTTTTGAGTTCATGCTTCTTCCTTTAGGGAATTGAGGAAACTGAAACCTTGTCTGGGTCATAGAACTAGTTAAACCTTTTTAGCCTCCAACCCGGCCTTTTTACCCTACTTTGTGCTTTTGTTCTCTGTGGGCTGTATCATCCATTTTTAGAATTAAAATTACTTGGCAGATATTAAGTCAGTACCCTTGAGTTTATAATCTACCGCCATTGTTGCCTTCACAGACACTTGGACAATTCATTGATACAGTATCTTCATTGCCCACTCTCTCCACTACCGGAGGGTTATCTTATTGTATTTATCATAGAGTTCTTGAGGCCTGCCCTTTTTTTGGTATCCCTCCACCTCATATCTTGCTCTATTGGATTTGGAATATTATAATTAGATACTTGGACTTATCTCCACTGAATATTTAAGGAGTGCCTCTCCCACACAGTCTGTTATGGGACAGCTGTTCATGTATCCCGTGGTGGCTGTTGCTTATGAGGAATCTTCCTTTAGAAGGATGTTTTCACTGATCTGCTTATCAAGACTGCATGAGTCACATTTTTTTCTTTTATGTGTGAAATCTTCATGTAGACTTAAAAATGACAGATTGTTAAGGACTTATTATATATCATCTTAGCCAAACCTCTTATTTCATAGGTGAAAAAACAGTAGCCCGAGGAAGCTGGAACTTTTCCAAGGTCATCATGAGTTAGTGATGGCCAAACAACCAGTCTCATGAATAAAATGCAGATGATTACAGTTCTGTCTCCCTCAAAGTATTTTTATGTGGCTTAGTGAGCATGTCTAGAAAACCATATACAAAATAGTAAGTAGTATTATCATCAAGGATTTTAAGTCAAGGCAAAGCAATATTCTTTAAAACTGAATAAAAACGTGGGCCATCAGAGTAGGAGCACTCATTATTATACAATTTTCAATTAGATTATAAAGTCCTTAATATTAGTTCAACTCATAATATTTTACATATAGGAAAATTGAGGTTGCACACATCAAAAGAGTCCAAACTCAGAATTACCAGAATTCATCTTAGCCTCTTTATAGTACTTTGCCTAACACAGCATCTTGTGCACAGCAATAACTGTTTGCATTCTAAGCAGCAGGCACAAGAGTTCTTACATCACCATGAGATTCTTTCCATGGAGAAACATTTATGGTAAATTGAGAGCAGAATCAAGAATTATGTCCTGTCCTCAGGGTCCCAGTTCTTTGTAGTTTTCTGTGGTGTATTCTGGTAGGGTATGGAACAACCCTTTTTTGAATCATTGTCTAAAATCAGTAGACATTCCTACCTTTTCATATTTGAGGCTTACATGTAGTTTTCTTCCTGATTTTTTCCTTTCATTTAAGATTTTCTTGTCATTTTGGGGGTCTCATATTGCTCAGGGAAAGTCAGTAGCTCAAGGATCTTTCTACTGTCGTCTGTTTCATATGTTAGCACTCCCTATGGCTGGGGAATGGCCAAGCCAGAGGAGGGGCGGGTGTCCTTATCAGGGACGTGGATGCAGTAGTGTGACTGAGAATGAGCTTTGTAGTGGTGGGCCTGTTTCTAATTGTATGTGTGTCTGGTCTTCCCAACACTCAGCTTTGTAGGGAAGGTATTTTGTGTTTGTCTTCACCTTTTCTTGCACCAAATAGCTTCATGTAATTGCATTCCATATGGCTTTATGTGTGAAGTGTGCATTATTTTGTAAACATTTGAAATGTTCATAACGAAATCTTTTTTCTTTTCTTCTTTTTTTTTTAACGCAACAGAAAATGCCCCAAAAACACTAGAGGACGTCGACAGAAGCAAAATCTAGGTCATTTTACTTCAGATACATCATCTAGAATGGTTTAAACTGATGACTTTTATATGTACACTGACCACGTGATGTACATTTATTATGTCTTTTTTTAAAGAATGGAAATATTTATTTCAGAGGCCTTATTTTTGGACATTTTTAGTGTAGTACTGTTGGCTCGTATTTAGAATATTCAACTACAACAGTTTTGGACTGTTTAGTAGTCTTTGTTTTGTTTTTAAATACAGAAATTAATTTCACAAATTTGTACCACATAACAATTCTAAGATTTGTTCCTTACCCATGGAATGTAATATTTTTGCAAAGATGGACCCACTTCACAAATGGTTATAAAGTCATATTCACTTCTTCCACAGAGACCACAGCAAATGACCAAGCATGAACTAAAGGTAAAGATGTTTACAGATTACTTTTCTTACAAAAAAAAAATCTAGAAGACACTGTGTTTAAATAGATATTTAAATGTTTTTGAGATTTAGTATCTGATTTTTTTAGACACTGCCTACCGCATGAACTATAAAGCTGTGTGTGTTAGATGTAAAATATTTATAAGATGTATAAACTGGAATTTCATTATTCTTCTCTTTGAAAAAATAATTCTGATAATTTGAAAAAGAACCTGGTAGTAATGATGGAGCAGATCACTGAGAAGTAGATTTAGGTACTGTCAAAATAGACTTTTTAACAAATGGATTGGAATAAAGCCTTCTGTCAGTTAAACTACTTTAATACACATTCATTTTTAAACAAAATATTTGTTTTAACATAAATTGTATCAGTGTTTGTGAATAATACAATGCAAAAATTGTTAATGGTTGGTGCTCTTAAAGTGAGCTTAAAAATGACCTATGACCTCTATCCAAATTTGTCTTGTAGTAATAGCTATATCAATAGATTGTTGGTGTTTAAAGGTCTGAAGTGTGAGTAGAATGTATTGAGCTGTTTAATGTGTAGTTTAGATACTCAAAAGTGTGCATGTATAATTTACAAAATATGTTCAAAATTAAATATTAATTTTAATATTTAGTTTGGAAAAGCATGTTATAATATAATGTTTTCACTATATGGCCTGTTTTGGTGTGATTATTTACTCTGATTTTTTAATATTGTTGTATCACTATGATAGATTAATTTAATAGGAAAAGCAGATTTCAGTTCAAAATTCTCCTTTGCTTTTACAATACTGCTTGAAATTATCGAAAGACAAAAGCTTCATTCAGTATTTGGGTTTTGCCTTTTTGTCACCTGGCTCCCGGGCTTAATATTAGTAACATAGCAGCTTCAGTGAACTTTTTTACAAAGCTTTCATCTGCTATCCACACAGTCTTATTTGAGTCCCTTAGTCAGTCATCAAGTATGTTTGGAACAGTCCCCAGTGCTTTGCAAGGGCTCATATTGCAGAACAGTCATGTATGGGTATTTGTAGTTATAAATGTTTGACTATTCTCCAGGGGTGGGGTTTCCAAGCCTTTAAGCAGCTCTGTTGCCTGTTATCAAGCTGGTTTTTTGCTCCAAGTGCCAGAATTGATTGCAGTAGGACATTTGTCACTGAGAAAATGGAACATAACGGGTCTGCTTCAAATGCTGATAAAATTCACCAAAATCGTCTTTCGAGTGTTTCTGAAGACGAAGACCAAGATGCTGCTCTTACCATTGTGACTGTGCTGGACAAAGTTGCCACCATCGTGGACAGTGTGCAAGCAAGCCAGAAGAGAATAGAAGAGAGACATAGGGAAATGGAAAATGCCATAAAATCTGTCCAGATTGACCTGTTGAAACTTTCACAATCACACGGCAATACAAGCTATGTCATTAACAAGCTGTTTGAGAAAACCCGAAAAGTCAGTGCTCACATCAGAGATGTGAAGGCCCGAGTAGAGAAGCAACAAGCTCATGTGACAAAAGTTGAAACCAAGCAAGAGGAAATTATGAAGAAAAACAAATTCCGCGTTGTAATATTCCAGGTAAGCTTGCACTAATTTCAGCTTGGTTACTATAATCTCTTGGATCTTTTAATTGCCTGCACGTCATAGCAGAGGTTTCCTATGTCATAGCTTAGCCATTGTATATATTAATGTACTGGAATTGTGGGTTAGCAGAGACTAATGATAAAACCATTTGTATGTTAATTAGTGCACTATCTACCATCTCAGTATTTTCAGTTTCTCAACCATTTCATGTAATATGAGCTTTGGCTAGTAGCTAAGGCTATTTCTTGCCTTTGAAACTTAATATTGGTAAGGCTCTTTCCCCATATTAGCCTTAGTAGTAAGTATGATATCTTCTCATAGACTTTGAGAATGTTAGCACTGGAAGAGTTCTAAAAAATCTCTAGTTTAAAACACCTCTTAGTTCTATAAAAGAAGAAATTAGGAAGGGTGCTTCCCTAGTATGTCTTGAGGCCCTGGATTCAATCTCCAGAACTGCTAAAAAGATAAAACTGGCAACTAGTACACTTACAAGAATGTTTACTCTTATTGTGGAAAGCCTGAAAAGATCAACCAGTAAAATATTATTTATTTATTGTAATTTTTACTTATCAGTCACGATAGTAAGAACAGCTCATTTCTTTAAAGAGCAATCAGGCGATTTTAAAAATACTATTACAGTATTATAGTATTACAGTATTATAGATACGTTACATAAATAGTTCTTTATTTGATTACAGATTCTTTTTACTTAGCTGATTTAATAAATTTTTACATAGCATAGTATATTAAGTTCCTATAACACCATGCTCATATTTAAAAAATAGGAGCATGTACAATATATTTTTTAAATGCTTAAAAATTAGAAGGAAATTGAACTCTTCTGTCATCACAAAAAACCCAAAGCAAAACAAAATGTGAAGTCAAATATATATACTCAGTTTAAAGGTAGAAGAAAGGAAGTATTTTCATGTTTTGCTGGAAGATATATTAATTTAATGCATTTCTGAGAGTAGTTTTGTTGTGTCATAAACCTTAAAAATTCACAAATTTTATCCTAAAATTTTGTGTCAAAGGATTTGTTCTAAAAATAAGATATATATGGGATATATGCAAGGTTGTTCACCAGTGCAAATATAAAGTGTTACCACAACTGTATTTTAAAAATGGATACCTGAGTGCACAGAGGAAAACCTTAGAAGAATAAAAATGAAATAGGAACACAGTTGGATTAGGTAGGCAAATATTTGTAAGCTCCTAAGGATGTGAACCATAAACTCCACAGTGTTGTTTACTCAGTCAATTCTCCAGTCTTTATTGACTGACAGTTACATTGGGATGGTAAAATGGTATTTCAGATCTGTTTTAAAGATCTTGCAGTTTAAGAGAGAGTAGCAGTGTTTATTTCAAAGATGGACAAAGTGGACTATGCCATTAGAAGTCCTTTAGCATTTCCCTTTCCTTCCAGGTCCCTTCAGGCCCTTCACCAGGCTTAAATATGTCACCATACTTTCAGAGACCAGTTCCAGTGTCAGAGTTTGAAGTGCAGATCTAATTTGGTATTGGAGAATATAGTACTGATTCTTGATTCATTTTCCAGAGGTATTACAATAGTGAGTGTTTCTTCCCTCCGTTTACACATAGTGTGCCAGGAACATGGTGGTGTGCAACACGGCTCCTGAGGAACTTTGTGTGAATAAGTGGACCAGGTGCCAGTCAAGATTTACAAAAGCTACCACAAAAACGCTTCTGCAAGTTCTGTTTGTCTATTGACACAATTTTTTTTGAAGTTACAGTGCTTTTTAATTTATTTCTCTATTCCCTGTAACTTACTGGTAATTTTTCCTTTCTTTGAGCCCTGGTATTTAAAGGAACTGAACAGTACTGGTTTAGGACAGATTTCTTCTAAGATTAAAGCCATGAAGATTCTGTGAAATTATATTGTGGTGAGTTAACAGCAATTTGTCAAAAAGCAGTTGTTACATTTTTATAAGCATGTGGAGAAAAGGTAAAGGCACATAATAGTGGACAGAGAACTAGAACGCTCCATATAATCACTGGTTATTCTCAGCACCTAAAATTAGTTGTAATTAATTATCATAGTTCATTTGTATACATAGTTATGTGGAGATTTCCTTTTCTGCTAAATTATCTTAAACTGAGCTATTAATCTGTAGTATATTTTTATTTCTATTTGTGTTTTTCCTGAAAGGTTTCCCTGAGTATATCCTTTGGCTGTAATCTTTATTGGTATTAGTGTATCTTCTATAGTTGTATGTAGGATATGTACCAAATCCTGGGTACTGCCATTTAAAAATAATTAATATTTCTTGCCCAATTATGTTTCTCTTTGAACACACTTTCACCTTAATGACCCTTTCTGGTCATCATGTGAACCACGAATTGCATGTGTCTTCTGATAATTTTGGTCATAACCACGAGTGTCTGGTTCCTAAATGGACTATTTGGCCAGGCCCTCACTATAAGCCAAAGTCCTCTAGCTGCATTCCTTTGATATTCAGTCAGGTACACTTTACTCTTCCCCAGTTTTTATTCTGTTACAAAAATGACTTTTTTTTACTTGAACCTTTACAAATATAACTGTATTTAGGAATCAACTCTAATTCAACCCTATAATCTTCAGTTATTATTAGAGTGTATTCACCATTCACTTATTGCTGACTCATAGGAGTTGTAACAAATAGATCTCTATAGCAAGTACTTTTTCTGACTACTTTGTTTTACCTTTTTAAAGTCTGATTTTGTACTATTTGTTGTGCAGTGGAAGAGAAGGGTGTGTGTTTCTGAGTTAAGCTGTATCTGATGTCTTAACAGCAAGCTTGTGAGAGTTTTCCCCTACCAACCAGTAATTATTCTTGGGCTCCTTCCTTTTTTAATTATACCTTCTCAAGCCAGACCAACCCACACTGTGTTACTGAAGCTATTCCATACAGCAGGTGTCAGGAAAGGAGAGGAATAATTTTACTGCCTCTTAACTGATTCATCAGAGAGTTATGAGATGCCCACCTCTGCCTTTTTTTTTTTTTAGCTTGCAGACACTCCAGTCCTGTAGCCAAAGAATTTAATTATAAATAGGGATCCAAAGACTATCTCAAGGATGCCTTCTTGACTATCAGGCTCATTAAATTTTAGAATGTGTGTAAATGTATTTCTTGTACATTATTGAATAGACTTAATCTGGATCTCAAGTAGGAACACAATTTCTTCTAAGAATTGTAATACATGGTTCAGTTAAAAATCTCACAATCTTTAGTTTTACCTGTTTGGTTTTAGAAATAATTACCTGAATAGTAAGCTGACTTTTTTTACATCTGTGGTCTGGCGTGGCTTCAAGGCCATTGGTGCCTGTCGTTTTCCCCCGTCCAGCTCTCATCCGTAATCTTTTGACACTTGGCATAGTTGTTGGGCCTTTCCTCTCTTCTTGAAACTGCTTTCTGCTCGGCCTCTGAGGCTGCTTCACTCTCAGGTTTCTTCCTGCTTTGTTGATAGATGTTTCTCCTTCCTTACCCTTTTAAAAATGTCTCCCTTTTTCTTTCTTATCTACTGGTCCTAAATCCATGATCTATTACACTAAAATCCAAAATATTTTGAAAGTAAAACCTTTAAGATAACTTGGTAAGAAATCTTAGCTTGAAATCATTTGGTGATAGAACCCAACCTGAAATAGCATGAGGCTGTGTATAGTCTTCATCCCACCTCAGTGTAAATATTCATTTTTTTTTTTACTGCAGAAATTTTTGTTCCCAAGATCTCACTGGGATCACATGTACACACTGTGTATAGTGCATCACATTAGTTTTACAAAATCCAAGATATTTTGAATATTGAAACATGCCTTGTCTCAAAGGAATGTCGAATCTCTTGGTGATTTGTTCTGACTTCATGACTTTTAATCCCATTTCTACATTAATGACTCTGAAGTTTGCATCTCTCACACACTCATGTGTTCAACTCCCATGTCTGCCTGCATGTCCAGTGGGCATTTCAAAGACACCTTGAGATCTTGTCTTTCCCTGCCAGTCTCTACCTCCTGCTCTCATCCTCATCTTAGGTAATGGCTTCCTTTGCAGCAGATCCCATTGGCTCTTACCTTATCTTGCCCCTGTAGCTTGTTTTTGACAGAGTCATTCTCATACATCATATGTCAGATCATGTCAAAATCTTTAAAAGTCTTTTTGTTATACTCAGAATAGAAGCCACCGTCCTTTTGCTTGGACATGGAGTCCTTTGTAACGTGGCCCATGTGCTATCTCTCTCACCCTTTTTTCTCTTGCCCCTTGGTTACTCTGTTCTAGCCACACTGCTCTGTACAGTCATTTCTTCCTGCACAACCTTCAGGCCCAGGCTTAGATGTCACCTTATTAGGTCTTTCTGACCACTGTATTCCTAAATAGCACTGAATATCCCCTTCCCTCTTTTTCTACCTTAGCATTCATTGCTATGTAACTTACTGTATATTTTATTCATTTATTTAACTCTCCCCAAGAAGACAATGATTTCTTTCACTGTTTTTAAAATAAGGTTTCTCAGTTCCTACAGTATTGAGTAATATATGGTGATAGCTTCATAACTCTTTGTTGAAGGCATAAGTTTTTTGTTTAATGCAATAATAATTTATTATTACTGACTATACATGCTAGGAATAAATCATAATTAAGACATACTATCTTTGCTTTGAGGAACCTAACACCACACTAGGGCCCCAGGAACATGTATATAAATGAGTAGAATTCCAATTAAATTCAAACTGTAATAACATCGTCGTATGTACATGTTCTTTGGGTGTAAATTGGAGACACCATTAGCCAACTGGAGAAGTTGGAACATATGAATTGATTCTTGAAGATGCCATTCATAAAGTAGAAAAAGAGTGAAGAGTCATTGAAGATATCAGAAACTATACAGAGGAATGAAAACATTTTTATATTTGAGGAATTGAGAGTGGTGTGTGTTGCTGGGCTAGTGAAGAGGGAAAATGATTCAGGTTGACTGAAGAGATTCTGAGTATACTCAAAAATTTGAATTTTCTCCCGTAAGTATGGAGGAATCTCTGAAAAGTTCTAAAGAGATGTAATCAGGGCTGTGCTTCAGTAAAATTTCTCAGGAAATACATAGGTGATGTTCTGGAGGTGGAGGGACCAGGAAATAGTCATTACACAAGTTCAGGAATGAGGTGACAAGAACCTGATGTAAAACATTGATAGAAGGGAGAGGAGAGAACATGTGAGTTATTAAGCAGTTATTATCAACAGGGCTTGCTGACCATTTGAGCGTAGGGTGAGAGGGAGAGGAAATACAGGGGATGCTGATTCTGAGGTTTCTGTCATGTGTAGCACCTGGATGGTTATCGGTGTTGAGAGGTACAGGAGAAATAAAAGTGGAGAAGATGGTGGACGGGCCTGATGTTTGAACTTGGTAAGTTTGAGATGCCTGTGTAATATCCAGGTGAAGAAATCTGCCCATCATTTGTATGTGTCTTCCTCTTAGGAGAGGTAGAGAGGTGTAATAAAGTGTACATGAGGAAAGGGTCAAGGAGAAAGAAGCCCTGGGAAATGCCAACATTTAAGGAGCAGGCAGAGGATAAACAGCCTGTAAGAGGAAGTTTGCAGGATGTGGCCAGAAGATCAAAGAGTTGCTCTATACTGCAAAGAAAGCACTCACCTGCTCTGCTTTTCTTTTCTCTTCTTTAGGAGGAGATTCAGTGTCCGACATCCCTGTCTGTTGTCAAAGACAGAAACCTCACCGAGAATCAGGAGGAAGAAGACGAAGCCTTTGATCCTCCAATAGAGCTCTCTTCAGATGAGGAATATTACGTTGAAGAAAGCAGATCTACCAAGTTTAGAAAATCAGGCAAAGAGCGCATTGATCACATCAAAAAGGCATTTTCCAAAGAAAACATGCAGAAGACAAGGCAAAACTTTGACAAGAAAGTGAACAGAATTAGAACAAGACTAGTGACACCTGAGAGGAGAGAGAGGTTGAGACAGTCAGGAGAGAGGCTTCGGCAGTCAGGAGAGAGGCTGCGGCAGTCAGGGGAAAGATTTAAGAAATCTATTTCTAATGCTGCTCCCTCAAAGGAAGCTTTTAAGATGCGCAGCCTTAGGAAGGCCAAGGACCGAACTGTGGCCGAAGGTCAGGAAGCAGGCAGGGAGATGGGAGTGGATGTCATTGCCCGGAGTCCATCTCTAGTCCCCATCCCTGAGCTCCACACTGATGAGCTCAGTGAAACAGAACAGGAGGAAGCCAGAGCAGGGCATGCTTCCCACGAAGGAGGGGAAATCTTAACCCCTGAGCCTTTAAAGGTAACTTTTAAGCCTCAGGTGAGAGTAGAGGATGATGAATCACTCTTATTAGATTTAAAACAGTCTTCATAAGGAGGAAATAAGTAAAAAGCCTCAACCATGGAGTTTTAGTTTGCATAGTGTAATTATTTGCATTTATTTATATGCAGTGTAGGAAAATTAGTGATATGAGTGTTTCTACATTTAACATCTTAAATATCATATAAATATTACGTATGTTTTCCTTGGGAAAATGTATTCTTTTTACTTTTCCTGAGCATATATGATAGTAGGTAGCAGTCTTTTCTTATGATGTCATCCTCCCTCATGGCAGCATTGAGTTCTAGCATCATAGCTTTATTAATAGTGAGAAACTTCTTGGGCCACATGCTTATTCTCCTTACCCAAAGAAATGGGGAGGGTTTGCTTGTCCTTCTCTTCTCAAAGGACTGTTGTGAAGACCAGAGGAAGTGTCACAGTTCTGGAAAAGCAAGAAGTACATCCAGACAGAAACAAACCATGCTGGGCTCTCAACCATAGAACTGAAATAATTACAATTTCTGAAGAGGCCCCCAGCGTCAGGCAGTGAAGGCCTAGGTTGAACAGAAATTAAAATCAGTTTTCTTAAATCTTTCCATAGAAGCAAGAATATAAAATAAATGTTTGACAATCTTTTCATCAAAGATTACAGCCAAACTTTAGGTTTTAGATGTGTCTTAAAATGTTTCTTGGAAAATCCTTTTCTAATTTTCTTTTGCTTTTAGATTTGTGGTGGACTATGGCAACTTTTGTAGCATGAGGCATACGACTGGCTCCATTATAAAGTGGCTTTCTTTCTTTCTTTACTACCCCCCTTTCTTTCTTTCTTTCTTTTTTTAAATTGGTGGTTGGACACAAGTCCTTCCACATTGAGCTTCATATATCCTCAGCCCATTTTGAGGTAGGCTGTCTCTTAATAAGTTGCCCAGGCCAACCTTGAACTCCTGTCCCTTCTGCTTCAGCCTCCCATGTAGCTGGGATTGAGTGTGCCACCATGCCTGGCTGTAAAGAGGCCTTTCTAAAGTCTTCTGTGCTGCAGCAGGTTTGGAAATGACCTCCAGCATTGCTGTTTTCCAGGCTGAAGCCTTCATGGCCTAGCTGTACAATACAGTGTGTATAGGTGTTCATCATAGCTGCTTTAAGGGAGCCAGATTCCACTTAGCTGTTAGCTTTTAGATAGGAATTAGATTTATTCCAAAGAAAGAGAAATAGTTGCACTGTTTCTATGCTTCTAATGTATTTAAATTCTTTTTTTTTTTTTTTT